AACACTGGGATACGTCCCTATGTTTCTTCTTCCTTTTCGAAACACCGGGATACGTCCCTATGTTTCTCTTTTCTTTTCGAGACACCGGGATACATCCCTATGTTTCTCTCTTCATTCCGAAACACTAGGATACGTCCCTATGTTTCTTCTTCTTTTCCGAAACACCGGGATACGTCCCTATGTTTCTTTTTCTTTTTCGAAACACTGGGATACATCCCTATGTTTCTCCTTCATTCCGAAACACTGGGATACGTCCCTATGTTTCTCCTTCTTTTCCGAAACACCAGGATACATTCCTATGTTTTTTCTTCTTTTCCGAAACACTGGGATACGTCCCTATGTTTCTCCTTCTTTTCTGAAACACCGGGATACGTCCCTATGTTTCTTCTTCTTTTCCGAAACACCGGGATACGTCCCTATGTTTCTCCTTCATTCTGAAACATTGGGATACGTCCCTATATTTCTTCTTCTTTTCTGAAACACCGGGATACGTCCCTATGTTTCTCATTCCTTTCCGAAACACCGGGATACGTCCCTATGTTTCTCCTTCATTCCGAAACACTGGGATACGTCCCTATGTTTCTTCTCCTTTTTCGAAACACCAGGATACGTCCCTATGTTTCTCATTTCTTTCCGAAACACCGGGATACGTCCCTATGTTTCTTCTTATTTTCCGAAACACCGGGATACGTCCCTATGTTTCTTCTCCTTTTTCGAAACACCGGGATACGTCCCTATGTTTCTCATTTCTTTCCGAAACACCAGGATACGTCCCTATGTTTCTTTTCCTTTTCCGAAGCACCGGGATACGTCCCTATGTTTCTCCCATCATTTCGAAACACCGGGATACATCCCTATGTTTCTTCTCCATTTTCGAAACACCGGGATACATCCCTATGTTTCTCCTTCCTTTCGAAACACCGAGATACGTCCCTATGTTTCTTCTCCATTTCGAAATACTGGGATACGTCCCTATGTTTCTCCTTCCTTCCGAAACACCGGGATACGTCCCTACGTTTCTCTCTCTTTTCGAAACACCGGAATACATCCCTATGTTTTTTCTCCTTTTCCTGAAACACCGGGATACGTCCCTATGTTTCTTGCATGATCATAAGTTATGCTCGGCTCCTTGCATTGTCAGTTGCATTTTGCCCCTGCCTTCGGGCCCATATCCGTATTGTCTTGCGTGCTTTGTCTAAGTCTTCGGCCTTGTCAAAAATGGGTCGTCTCTGGGGTTTGACACTCACTCCCGTCATTCTTATGACTTTCGAGTTCAGTCAAAGAGGGGCAACTGTAGACACCCCATTTTTGACCGTCCTCAAGACTTGGGTGTCACCGTTTGAACACTCGGTGATCATCCTTGTTTGTGTTCGTCTTGAGTTCCTGGAGGTTTCGGCCACGCGCGCCTTGTCTTAGGATCTCTCGACTCGACTGTTTTGTGTTTGGTTTTGCACCAAACACTTGTGTTTTGCCTTTGAGGGGCAGGGAGTGGCTTGATGGCCATCCCCACACATCACCGGCCATGGCTTGAGGCCACCGGCCATTGGTTTGTTGCCGCCGGCCCGACACTTTTTGTGGCCGGCCGACCATCTATTTTGGTCAAATTGTATTTTTTGCCAGCCGACCACTGTTCATCTGCTTTTGCAGATATTTTTGTGCCAGCTACAGCTGGCACCCACCTTTGCTCCCCTCCATACACGTGTATGGAGGGATTTCAACCTTGTTAGCTTGCCTTGGAAGCTTTACAAGGTTGAATCTTCTATAAGAGGAAGCCTTCTCTCCCTCTTTGAAGGGACAACATTTTTCCAGAGCTTTGAGTTCTAGGGTTAGGGTTTGCATATCCTCCATCTCTATACCTCTCTCTCTCTCTCTTGTGTATTAGTGTGTGTTTTGTTTCTTCTTTTGCACACAAAACACTAGTCTTACACCTTTTCTTGGTGCGAGGGGCCAGAGGTCTGTTCTTGGTGTTCTTGGGTGGTTTTGAGCTCAAAAAGCAGCTAGTCCACCATTTGTGAAGAGGTCTTCAAGGGTAACATTCTTGCTTTTTTTTACCCATTTTGCATAGCTTTTTCGACTACCTTGAACTTTTTTAGACTTGGTGTTATAAACATATAAAGTCTTGTTTTTGTCTACTCTAAATAGTGTTTAGAGTGTCTTAGCTTTGAGGTTGTTTGACCCTCTTAAGCCTTGTTAGGCTCCATTTTTTGCTTTTGGTGAGCTTCGGACCATTGTGTTTGGGCCTCCTCACCACTAAAATCTTGAGGGATTTTATGGTGAGGATGGTGCCTTGGCCTAAGAAGGAGAGGCCACCCCCTCTCCTTGTTGTCCTTGAAAAGGGCCATTTTAGCCTCTTGTGTGAGCATCTAATTTAGGTTCATGTTGGCCATGTCCTAACTGATTTTTGTGCTTATTATGTCATAATATAGCTCTGTTTTTCCTTGGTTTAGACACATCTTGCATGCCTTGCATACATGTCTTGTAATGCCATGTTTAGGCCTTAACATGCCTTAGGTGTTGACCCTTGTTCTAGCATGATTTTGGCCAAGCTTTGTGGAGCTTTTGTGTATGTTTCAGTGTGCTTTAGCTCTATTTTCAGTTGCTTTGGTCATGCTTAACATATTTTGTATAGTTTCTTTGCATTCTAGCTTGTAGGCCTTGAATGTGTGATGTCATGAGCATGCTTTACTTGCTTTGATTATTTGGTTTGGCACCTTTCTTTCATGATTTTTGGAGCTTACATTGCATGCTAATTGTCCATGATCATCTCTTTTAAGTGTGCTTAAAAGTTGCCTTTTGATGCTTAGGAATTGGATCATGTATGCATGCATGCTTGTATGTGCATTTGGCCCCATCTCCATAGTTTATGGCCACTGTTTTAGGCTTGTTTGAGGGCTGCCTAAATTAGTTTAAGTCCATCCTTCATGTGTTATAGCATGCTTGCCTCGTGCATTGTTGCATACTTGGTCTATTACATGTTATTGCTTGATTGAAATCATGATGCATTTGGCATGTATTTCATTGGTTAAGTTGCTTTGCTTTGTTCCTATGCTTAGTCCACTTTACATCTTGTTCCTATGCTTAGTCCACTTTACATCTTGTTGCATGTTTGCCACTAACATAGTTGTCACATCCCTTGCGTGCTCATTTTGCATACTTAGCCTCTATGTCTAGGTTGCATTCCATTTGCATGCATGTTTCACCTCTTGAGTTGAGTATGATAGAGGTCGAGCCCCCTTTGTTTGATTATGTGCATTGCATTCCATATCAAAATGCATACTTGGTTTTTTGGGCCATCACGCATTGAAATGCGCGATTGGTAGTCCGAGAATCGAGACCCATCCTTCTTTGAGTCATGAATATGATAAGGAGTGTGGTTGGTGCATACATTGTTTGAAATGTATTGCCATGCTATGTTTTGCCCTCTACTGCTGTCAAAAACAGATTCTGCAGGAAGCTTTGGCCGGCCGGCCATCTTCAGTGCCAACCGGCCATGCACCAATGGCCGATAGCTTGAACAAGTGGCCGGTGATCATTCCCTTTGCCGGTGACCAATTCCATTAGCCGGTGGTGTTCCACAGCACTCAGAGAAGCAACCCTGGGACTTGTACAGTTTTCAGAGAAGGATAACAGTCAAAGCAGAGGCAACTTGTGCATGGCAGTGGCTTTTTGAGCGGAGCCGAACACGCATTGCATTGGGCCCTCTTCCCGATGCTATTTACTGTTTTATTAGATTAATTAATTTGATAACTAGGTTAATTGGTCTGTAATATTTAATTAGCTTGTAGGTTAGTTAATTGTATTATTCTTTCGGTCCCTCTGAGCGAGGGCAAATTTGTAATAAGTATGGGTGCGTGTGTGCATGTCTTCCAACCCCCACTTCTTTCTCTCTTTTAGTTACCTGCTTTTTATGGTTAGTATTAGGGCATGTTTAATTTAGCATACCTTATGCTATGCATGCGTGCATCATTCATCAGTATTGTATGCACCGGGCTCGGCGCATCATACTAACAGCATAATATTCCAAATCTAACTTGAATACGTACTACTTGTTGCATCCCACATGCCATCCTAGGATTAGCCGAGCCTATTCTAGTGACACTCTACATGTGTTGCATTAGCCACTTAACATGAATTAGGATCACGCATATGATTACTAACTAGTTCACTGTTTTGGTTCGGAGTACGCTGTAAGTATTTATGCTTTAGCATCTCGCATGATTGTGAATGTTAACATGACAGCATGCTTACCATGTGGCTAGATGCTTACATGATATAAACTGCCTGAATGCCTGTGGGTGAAGGTTGGATTGTTTGAATTGGAACAACTTGCTGAAATCCGTGTTTTAGCCTACTTGTGAGTAGCAAACCTCAAACCATTTCCAAAACGAACGGATACGCAATGCTTTGTTCCAAATTAGGCGATCTAGTCTATACTTGTTTTGCTGTGCGCATCACATAGTAATTCTAGGCCAATTAACTGGAATAAGAACGCATGTGTTTTCAAAAACGAGATATCATGGTTAGTAGAAGCCGATCTTCGGATCGGGCGAGAGGGGGTGCTCATAGCTGACCTTCTCCAATCGTACCCAAGTTCCCGAGCCGAGGCAACTTTGGTGATGACGGACACGTGACCTTTGGCACCAAGTCAGGGTTTCCTAAATTTTCCAAAATAAAATATTTAGGTGGCGACTCTGTATCTGGCAAAGCAGTCCATGTTTGGCACTTCTTTTCTAACCATTAAAAAATATTTAGGTGGCGACTCTGTATCTGGTAAAGCAGTCCATGTTTGGCACTTCTTTTCTAAAATCTGTTTTTCTCAAAACGATTTGCCGGATTTGGACTCTTTGGTTCAGATTAAGAACCGTGACGATTTGAGAGTCTGAACTGTAGTGAGCCCAATATGAACAGAACGAGACTCATCCTCTTGGGGCGTTCAGAGACGTCTACAGCGACCTAAGTGGATTCCTGTGTATGTGAAGGATGTTTTTTTTTGGGCTAGCATGTGGACTACACAACGAAGTGAGAGCATGAACGCATTTTTTGATGGATATGTGAACTCAAAGACAACTTTAAAGCAATTTGTGGAACAGTATGATAATGCGTTGAGAAGTAAGGTTGAGAAAGAGATGAAAGCAGACTTTAAATCTCGAAACAAATTGTATGATTGCTTAACAGTATATGAGTTTGAGAAGCAATTTCGTGCAGCCTACACGAATGCAAAATTTTAAAAAGTGCAAGTAGAATTGAAATGACTATTTTATTATCGTGTGAATCTTGTCAAAGAGGAGGGAGCAATTTGTACTTATCATGTGAAGGAAACTGTTCTTGTGAGTGAGAAAATGAAGACTGTGGAATTTGTTGTATACTTTAATGCAACTCAATGTGAATTGCATTGTATGTGTCAGTGGTTTGAGTTTAGTGGCATTATGTGTGCCCATGCAATTACTGTGCTACTTGAGAGGTGTATATATCGACTATTTTATTATCGTGTGAATCTTGTCAAAGAGGAGGGAGCAATTTGTACTTATCATGTGAAGGAAACTGTTCTTGTGAGTGAGAAAATGAAGACTGTGGAATTTGTTGTATACTTTAATGCAACTGAATGTGAATTGCATTGTATGTGTCAGTGGTTTGAGTTTAGTGGCATTATGTGTGCCCATGCAATTACTGTGCTACTTGTATATATCAGGTGCCAGATAAATACATTGTATCAAGATGGAGAAAAGATATCGAAAGAGGGTACACATGCATTCCAACCGCATACACTAAAGTCGGGGCTGTTCTTAATGCAAAGTTACATGAAAAATACCACAAGATGTTGGACAAAATCATAGAAATTTCTGCCAACAATAATGGTAAACACGAAGTGCTTGATCTTGGGTTGATAGAAATCAATGATAGAGTGAGAAAAGATCAATCGGGTAGTGCGAGTCATGCACCACCTTCTACTAGTGACGTGCCACCTTCTACTAGTAATGTACCACCTTCTCATAGTTCGTTGAGAAGTCCATCTGCTCGTAGTACTACAAAAGCAAGCATGTCTTGCAAGATGCTTAGTCTTATAGTTGCTCGCCAAAGAGGACGTCCATATACCAAACGGAAGGTTAGCAAAGTGGATGAAATAGTGAATCAATTGAAGGAAAAGAGTAAAAAGCCTCCAAAAGCACGGGTAAGTTTTTTTTGTTATGTGTGACATGGAAATTGTTGAATGTATTTAAGAAAAATTATTCACCTATGTGTCTGTTTCTTACTATTTAATATTATTTTCCTATGATTAGTAGAAGATGAAGCCATTTTTTTTATCTGCATAAAAAATACCAATAGATTCAACTACCTCAATCTTGATAACAAAGCCACTTTAAATTCTTATTAATGTTGAATGCTTATGAATGTTGAATGCATAAATTCAATGTTGATAACAAAGTGAATGCATAAAATCAATGTTGACACTTAGAATGATCTTTCAAAGGTATCCATATAAAACAGATGATAAGTCTCTTTCAATCTGTTACTTATGAATCTGTTTGGGGTTTTGTTAAGTTTATGAATCTGTTACTTACTTATGAATTTGGTGCTTAGAAAAGGTCAACTCATAAGTCTGCAAAAAGCCTACCAATTCATCTATCTGTATGTCCCTTATTCTATTACTCTCTTCTATTGCAGTCACTTTTGGTCTATAACATTGAGAAAGAGATCTAAGAACTTCACATACAATTCTGCTTCAGGAATGGTCTCACCTAGGCTGAAAGATGAATAAACTATGTCATTGAGCCTAGCATGAAACTGGTCAAAGGTCTCAGACTCCTGCATTCTACATTTTTCAAATTTTAAGGTCAATTACTATACTTTAAAGTCTTTCAAAAGTTGTGTTCCCTCATCAGTAACTTTCAAAACATACCAAGTGTCTTTGGCAATCTCATACTTGGAGATAAGCCTAAAATCACTTGCACAGACAATAATAAATATTTCATACAAAGCCTTCATATTATATTTAATATTTTCAATGTCAATTCTATCACATTGTCTTTGAGTACCTAACATATTCTCTCTGGTGGTGGTATCGGTTAGAATGAGGGGTTGAAAGTTGAACTTGACGAAAGTCTAGACTCCTGCACTAAGGGACATCATAAAATATTTCATCTTGGATTTTCTAACATATTAAGTGCAACAGAATTTTTTCCATTGAAATTTTAACAATTAATTTTAAAATTCCTACTTGTTCAACAAAACTAATTGAAAAAGTTGATTCCCTACAGACTTACCAAATGCTTTGGGGATATTGTACTCTTATTAGCATTGAATCTTGACAACTCTCTTCAAGCAATGCTAATTTCAAGCAATGCTAACAGATTCAATCAAATGGATACAGAGGATAACCAATCAAATATATTTTGAACATAAGTCATCACAGATGTGTATTTCAAGCAATGCTAATCTCAAATTTATACAGAGGATAACCAATCAATATATTTCGAACATAGGTCATCACAGATGTGTATTTCAAGCAAAACCAATCAAATGTATACAGAGGATAACAGATTGAAATGCAAATCTCAAACCCTAACACATCAGAAATTAAAGCCAAATCCCAAACCCTAACACAAATTTCAAGCAAACCCCAAACCCAAACACTCTCAATCGACTAATTTCTACAAAAAATTGATGCCAAACATAAACCCTAACCTAACATGGCTCGATTTGGGGTTTACCTCAGTCGTCCTTCGTACTGCTTCAACAGACAGGTGAGAGAGGCGAGACTGAAGAAATAGTAAGCGGCGAGACTTAAGAGATAGAGAGGATGTGTAGTCGACATGAGAGGGATGAGTCCAGAGAGCTGCTTGAATGCTCCAGGTTTTGAATGTCTTTGAATGGGCCAGATTTTGAATGCTGAATCTGTATGTTGAATGAGCATTCAAGCATAACAGATTTTGTATGTCTGTGAATTTGAATGCTTGAATGCTCCAGATTTTGTATGCTTGAATGCTCCATTCAAACAGATCCATTCTGTGAATCTGCCTGAATGCTCAATCTGTTATGCTCCAGATTTTGAACAGATCCATTCAAACAAATCCATTCTGTGAATCTGCCTGAATGCTCATTCTGTTATGCTCCAGATTTTTAACAGATCCATTCAAACAAATTCATTCTGTGCATCTGCCTAAATGCTCAATCTGTTATGCTCCAGATCCATTCAAACAAATCCATTCAAACAGATTCATAATAAAATGCTCCAGGTTATGATTGTTCAATCCATAATAAAACAGATTCGTTCAAACACTACATTCAAATTACATAATAGAATACACAAAATATGTCCATTACATCCATTTAAACACTTCCCAAAATATGTCCATTATATTCATTTACATGATAAAGTAAAAAAATACACAAAATACAATGACATAAGTCATTACCTTGAAAATCTTCTCCACCCTTTCGAGCCTTCTATCATGCTCACCAAGCCTTCTCCTTAGCTCATTAATTTCTTCAGTTCTTATATCTGTGTAGGTAACATCGTTGTCATCATCATCTGCGAAGCTGAAGTAATTGCAGTGCTCGTTCACACTCTACAATGCACAAGAATCGGTTAATCAAATCAGACAAATGAAATTTGTAAAAAGTGAAACATTAATTTATATAACAGATACTTACATATTTGTGTGGGCAAACAAAAAACACACGTCCTTCATTTCCATTCTCATTGGTTCGTACAATGTGCATGGAAGCTGTTCTTCCATAATAACAGAATCTTGGCTTTAATATTATTTTCCTATGATTAGTAGAAGATGAAGCCATTTTTCTATCTGCATAAAAAATACCAATAAATTCAACTACCTCAATCTTGATAACAAAGCCACTTTAAATTCTTATGAATGTTGAATGCTTATGAATGTTGAATGCATAAATTCAATGTTGATAACAAAGTGAATGCATAAAATCAATGTTGACACTTAGAATGATCTTTCAAAGGTATCCATATAAAACAGATGATAAGTCTCTTTCAATCTGTTACTTATGAATCTGTTTGGGGTTTTGTTAAGTTTATGAATCTGTTACTTACTTATGAATTTGGTGCTTAGAAAAGGTCAACTCATAAGTCTGCAAAAGCCTACCAATTCATCTATTTGTATGTCCCTTATTCTATTACTCTCTTCTATTGCAGTCACTTTTGGTCTATAACATTGAGAAAGAGATCTAAGGACTTCACATACAATTCTGCTTCAGGAATGGTCTCACCTAGGCTGAAAGATGAATAAACTATGTCATTGAGCCTAGCATGAAACTGGTCAAAGGTCTCAGACTCCTGCATTCTACATTTTTCAAATTTTAAGGTCAATTACTACACTTTAAAGTCTTTCAAAAGTTGTGTTCCCTTATCAGTAACTTTCAAAACATACCAAGTGTCTTTGGCAATCTCATACTTGGAGATAAGCCTAAAATCACTTGCACAGACAATAATAAATATTTCATACAAAGCCTTCATATTATATTTAATATTTTCAATGTCAATTCTATCACATTGTCTTTGAGTACCTAACATATTCTCTCTGGTGGTGCTATCGGTTAGAATGAGGGGTTGAAAGTTGAACTTGACGAAAGTCTAGACTCCTACACCAAGGGACATCATAAAATATTTCATCTTGGATTTTCTAACATATTAAGTGCAACAAAATTTTTTCCATTGAAATTTTAACAATTAATTTTAAAATTCCTACTTGTTCAACAAAACTAATTGAAAAAGTTGATTCCCTACTGACTTACCAAATGCTTTGGGGATATTGTACTCTTATTAGCATTGAATCTTAACAACTCTCTTCAAGCAATGCTAATAGATTCAATGCTAATTTCAAGCAATGCTAACAGATTCAATCAAATGGACACAGAGGATAACCAATCAAATATATTTTGAACATAAGTCATCACAGATGTGTATTTCAAGCAATGCTAATCTCAAATTTATATAGAGGATAACCAATCAATATATTTCGAACATAGGTCATCACAGATGTGTATTTCAAGCAAAACCAATCAAATGTATACAGAGGATAACAGATTGAAATGCAAATCTCAAACCCTAACACATCAGAAATTAAAGCCAAATCCCAAACCCTAACACAAATTTCAAGCAAACCCCAAACCCAAACACTCTCAATCGACTAATTTCTACAAAAAATTGATGCCAAACATAAACCCTAACCTAACATGGCTCGATTTGGGGTTTACCTCAGTCGTCTTTCGTACTGCTTCAACAGACAGGTGAGAGAGGTGATACTGAAGAAATAGCAAGCGGCGAGACTGAAGAGATAGAGAGGATGTGTAGTCGACATGAGAGGGATGAGTCCAGAGATGCGAGAGGAATGAGGCGTGGGTCAAGAAAAGGAAGAAGAAGAAAAAAATAAAAATAAAAACCGAAACCCAAAACGACGTCGTTTTGGGTTTCGAGCCAATTCGAGAAAACGACTTTTGAGCCCTCAAACATTTTCCTAAAAAAAAATAGATTGGATTTTTTTGGGGATAAAAGAAGCCATCTAACTCCTCTATATACTATTTTAAGATGAAATATTTTAATCACATAAAAAATAGAAATTATATTTGGAGATTATCCCTATATATTATGCTATTATACATAAATATAGCAATACTAAATTAATTAATATTTATGAAAAGTTATACTAAGCTTTCATTTTCAATTAATTGAATTATGATTAACAAACTAACAAATAGCAGTAATGGTATAATAGGATATAAAGAGAATAAAAATAAAAAACACAATGATATTTAAAAATTTAAATTTACCTAGTTATACAAAAATCTAATGTTGTAGTACAATCTTGAATTCTCAATAATTTTTCACATTTTCTATAAAATAAAATGACAATAAAAAATAAAATAGTCGATACCCATTTTTTTACTTCAATTTTACAGTTTTCATTGAAAAAAACAAAATTCGATCAAAATCCTTAGCACATAATGGGCATAAATATTTCGATTGCAACCATCATCACCAATAATTCTTCTCCACCATGTAAACCTGTAAACAAATACATAAATCTCACTAAAGTCGAAACCAAAACCAAACCAATAACAGAGAAAGAAAATCACATGGGAGAAAAAATAAAATTAAAAAACAAATAAATTTATGGAGTGATAGGATATTACTCCCAACAACTTAGATCTCGTCTCGCCTAATCCATCAGCTCCTCCAGCAGTGCCTGCGAAGTTTAGGAGTAGGGATGACTAATCAGATTAGTCTTTAAAAAGGACTTGAAAATTGATTAATTTGTCCCATTAAGTGATTTAAAATTTTAATAGATATACTTAAAAAAAATAGATAATTATATTATTAAATCATAATTCAAATTTAGATATTGTCATATCTTTTTGAGATCTATATCTAAATTCTTGTCTTCTTTATTTTTGTGTGGTTTCTATTTGTTTTTTTTCTCAATTTATTTAAGATGGAGTTATGGGTTTCTATTTTTTTTTAATTTAATTTATCTATAGTTTCTATTTGTTTTTAATTATTGTTATTTATGTAAGTTATGATGTGAGCTAGAAATATGATAGACATGTGAGTTTTATTGATTGTGACGACCTAGACTTGCTAATCGTGATTTTAGTTAATTAATTATGTGTTAATTCTAATTGAACTAAGTGCCTAGTAATTTAATTTGTGCATATCTGTCCAAATTAAAAAA